CCAGGGCACGGGGCCCCTTGCCGCCGGGGCTCGCAGTTCAATGTGCCCCCCAGTGCCCAGTTTGTGGCCCGGCCCGTGGGGGTCTGCTCCATGATGAAACTGCCTGTTCAGGCATCGGCAGAGGGACTGGACGCAGCTTTTGTCGGCGTTCCTCTAGACACAGGCACGTCCAACCGGCCGGGAGCCAGGTAAGGGCTAGCTGCGGTGCTGGGGAAGTCGGTGCTTCGCTCCAGCCAGCTGGCGCAGCTCTCCTCCTGCGAGAGGAGCGATGGGTGCGCGGTGCTGGCATTGGGAGCAGCTTTTCCTAGCCGTGCTCTCTCCCCAGGTTCGGCCCACGCCAGATCCGAGCCGAGTCGGCGATGGTGAGGAGGTACAACGCCAGCACCGGGGCAGCGCCTTTCGACTCCCTGCAGGTGGCTGACATCGGGGACGTGAACGTGAACCTCTACAACCTGCCCGACAGCTGCCGCCTCATCCGAGAGTCCTACCAGAAGATCGTGGCCTCCAGCTGCGTGCCCCTCACCTTGGGTAAGGACACCACGTCACCCTGCCATGCCACCACGTCCCTGCTCATCCAAACTCCCTCTCCTCCCGTGCTTGTTCAGTCTGAACATGGCAGAAGGTGAGCGATGAACCTGTCCCCTGGAGTGTATAAACAAGTGCAGGATAAATGCAAGGGGGGGGAAAATCACCCGGGAGCAAATGTAATGAGTGCTGAGCAGTGTGTTACGCACTCTTCCCTGTCGTGCTGCAGGTGGAGATCACACCATAACGTACCCCATCCTGCAGGCTGTGGCAGAAAAGTAAGTTTCTAACCTGGAGATGCAGAGTAAGGACCTGGGGAGGAGCCTTGGGAAGGCTCCTGGTTTGCTCTCCATGGTGTAGGCAGGGCCATCGTGCAGGGAATGGAGGCTAATGTGGCCACCCTGTCTCGACTAGGCACGGTCCCATGGGGCTGGTGCATGTGGATGCTCACACCGACACCGGAGACAGAGCCCTGGGGGAGAAGATCTACCACGGGACCCCGTTCCGGCGCTGCGTGGAGGAAGGGCTGCTGGACTGTGGCCGCGTGGTCCAGATCGGCATCCGAGGCTCCTCCTATGACCCGGATCCTTACAAGTACTGCTGGGACCAGGTAAGCTCAGCCACAGGCTCTCGCCGAGCGCTGCTTTCTCTCCCTG